TATATATATATATATATATGTGTACATATCAATACTACTAATATTATATTTTTTTCAAGAGACTGACCAACCATTAATTACTTTACCATTTATCATTTTTTCCACAGAAAATTCATTTGCACAGTTTACTATAAGGCAGTCAACCTTAAAACTCACCAGGTGTAAACTTAACACCCCACCAGACACTCATAGGCATGACTCCATGATGTATAACATGAAGAGTAGATATATGACCAAACTTCTTTCGCAGCACAAAGAAAATCTGGAAAGTAAAAGAACACAGAATATTCCTCTAGTAATCATTAATATTCTTCATATTGCTTTTTAAAGCCACAATGTCGGAATTTCAAAGTCTTTCAGTCATGATAATTTGATTGCAACTATTTCTATTACGAGCTTCTTTAAACACAAACTATTTAATCATGACTTGTGCTAAGTGAAGTAGTAAAGTTTACTGATGTTTTACTTTCTTAAACAATACTCTGTTAAAAATTAGAATATATACTGGTACTTCTGCTTAAATGCTTCACTGGTTGTACATTTTAGTAAAACATTCTTTGTTAGATTCTACAACATAATGGTTCTTTAAGTGTTATAACTGAATTTGAGATTTATGTATACACAATTCTCTACATTTAATCTATGATAAAATGTAACAGATTTGTAGTTTATAAACTGAACTCTACAACAATACAAGGAATGTTTAAAGAAAATAATAACTGGTATCGATATGGAACAGACTTCAAACTTTTCACACTTTTATTTTTGAGTATAGAATTATTTTCATTATTTTTTAAAAGATCCCACCAGCTCAGAAGTTTAGAATGCAACGGACATTTACTCAAGACTCTCCAATTATATCAAATAAAATATACTTACGGTATCAGTGAACTCTACAAACTTCGAGATGTAGTACCACCAAGCCAGGTGAGCCATCTTAAGGAATTAAAAATAAACAAGATATGAATAGTCTATTCAAAATCACGACAGCCAGCACTATTAAAACCTAACAGAATTATAAGAATAAATTCAGTATATCAATGTTTAATATTTTAAACAAACAGTATTCTAATGAACTTTCTCTGCTCAGTGTCATGTCACCTACCAAAGCTTCAAACACTGGATATACTACTCAAACATGTTTGTGTTATTATACACGAGTAACAATTACGTCTTTTCTGATAACAGAAAGTAATGGTTTGGCAAGCAATCAGGACATTTGAGAAGAAAAATGTTTTTAATTATCTGAAGTTTCCATTACAAATCTTATCAGTGAAGATATTTACTTCAAGTTGATAAGCTTAAAGAATAAAATTTCTTGTTTCATTAATGACCATAAACTTGTTTTATTTTGATTTTTACAGCAACTACAAGAGTTCTAAATTTAGAAAACAAACTACAAAGATTATTACTCTGTTAATAACAAGATATTCCTAGATGCAAATGCACTAATATTTGATCACACACGAGTGACATATGTCTAGCTATGTGCTCTTTTTAATGCTTTAGGTTCCTCCTCGCTTAGTTTTAGAGAACTGACTTTAAAGAATTGACAAAAAAAGGTCAAGCTATTTTGGGTCATCAGAATTCAAGTTCTGGTGGCCTTACTTCTTTATAAAAGATAAGGGATTCAACCCCAGTACAAAATATGTTATAAAGAAATGGACGATATTTAAATAACAAACATAAACCATACAGAATTTGTTCTCGAAATGAAGAAACAAAATAAATTAGAAAATTGTCCTAGTAGTGCTCACACAATTAAGAGTTTTCTGATTAAATATATATATATATATATATTAAATATATATATATTTTTACTTAAAAAGTTCTTATATTATATTATAACAACTTTATTAAATCTGATACCTATATCAAGCTGTAATTACCTCAGTTGCCTCAGGACTATTCGAATAATCCACTGGTTGGCACCTGTAATTGAATTTTCCAAACCACCCAAGAAAACCAAGCTATAAAAAATAAAATAAAATAATTTAAAGAGTATTACAGAACTAATTTTCTATTCCTACTCTTTTTTAAAACAATAGATTGGTAAAAAAAATAAAAGCATTAGATATTAAAAGAAAAGCTTTTCTTGGCAGTTACAATATTTTAATTAATGCCTTTGTCATAATACAACATTCAAAGCAATCAACTCAGAAAATGAAACTCGTAAGTACACCATAACTATGAATTTTAATTTCTGGAACATTTCAGGATTTCAAATGTGAAGAAATGTATTATTTTCATTATACTGGTCAGTTGCATCAATCGTTAAAAAGTAAACATAAATACAGTTGAGATCTGCAAAACCATTTATAAACCAATCACCTTTTTTCACAGTGTAATCATCACTTACAACAAAATTATAAAAATGATGCATTACATCTATAGACAATCCAAACTCATACAAAACGTTTGTGTGAACGTGTGTACCTTAAACAAATTCTATTCCAGTTTTGCTACTTCAAATGTTTAAAGTGTACAACTTATAATTTTTTTCTAATCTTTGGACCTGCAGTAATATTTTGCTGCAGATTAGAATTCAATAATTTTGTTTGAAAAACAGATAAAAAAGGTCAACATATAGCTGAATTCACGAGAATGACAGTTACATGAACAAACCTCTGTAGTGCTTACAAATAAAGAAAAACAAATAATCATTTGTTTTAAGCCTCACTTACTGATCCACTTACGTCGATTTTAAGTCATTTAGTAACAAAATAATGATCAATTTAGTTTCTATGATCCTTTCAAAATTGAAAGATGTATCAACATAATTTAAATTAAGTAACAAGAGAAGCATTTGATTTACAATTGTTTTATGACAAACACGAACAAGAGCCTTAAATTACAATCTTTTATAGTTGTACAGTAGTTTCTATAGTATCTAAGTTTTGTTAGTAATACAAGAAATTGCTTTTTAAAACATAGATCGCGTTATTATATAGCAGCTTAAACTGTTTAAAAACATAGATCGCGGTATTATATGGCAGCTTAAACTGTTTAAAAACATAGATCGCGGTATTATATGGCAGCTTAAACTGTTTAAAAATATAGATCGTGGTATTATATGGCAGCTTAAACTGTTTAAAAATATAGATCGCGGTATTATATGGCAGCTTAAACTGTTTAAAAATATAGATCGCGGTATTATATGGCAGCTTAAACTGTTTAAAAATATAGATCGTGGTATTATATGGCAGCTTAAACTGTTTAAAAATATAGATCGCGGTATTATATGGCAGCTTAAACTGTTTAAAAACATAGGTCATGGTATTATATGGCAGCTTAAACTGTTTAAAAACATAGATCGTGGTATTATATGGCAGCTTAAACTGTTTAAAAACATAGATCGTGGTATTATATG